GGAAAATATTTTTGTAAATTTTGCATCAGATAAGGGACTGATAACCAGAATACACAAGGAACTAAAGATGCTGTTTGGAAAAAAGACAATCAATCCTATTAAAAGATGGGAGAAGGAGTTGAATAAAACACTCTCTAAAGATGACACACGAATAGCCAAAAGGCATATGAAAAAATGTTCAACATCCCTCATAATAAGGGAAATGCAGATAAAAACAACAATGAGGTACCACCTAACCCCAGTCAAAATGTCTAAGATTTAAAAAACAAAAAATGATAAGTGTTGGCAGGGGCGTGGTGAAAGGGAAACTCTTTTACACTGCTGGTGGGAATGTAAATTGGTCCAACCACTGTGGAGAATAATTTGGAGATTCCTCAGAGATCTACAAATAGAACTACCATATGATCCAACAATCCCATTCCTTGGTATCTACCCAAAGGACAGAAGAATTCTTCATTGGAAAAGTGCTTGCTCATCGATTTTTATTACGGCACTATTCATGATTGCAAAGTCATGGAACCAACCCAAATGCCCCCTGTATGGAGGAATGGATTGAAAAACTGTGGCACATATACTCTATGGAATACTACTCAGCCATAAAAACCAACAAAACCCTGGCTTTTGACAGAAAGTGGAAAAATACGGAAGATTTACTGCTGAGTGAGGCAAGCCAGGCTATGAAGGAGAGACATTGTATGTCCCCACTTAACATATACCAAATGTCTGCACTCTATGTCTGAAACTGATTGACTAACGGTTCCACAAACATAAGAGATGAGTGTGAATGTCAGATGAGGTGTATGTGGAGGAGTGGGGCCTAATGAAGGACATTTGGAGAAGAGATACGGAGGTAGAACATTGATGGGATGGGGAAGTGTGGTGTTATCGGTTGAAGATATTTTGATCAACGGGACTGGGGAGAAATGTTCACATACTGAAATGCTCACATTGTAAGCTAAACAATGCGATTGAATGTATATACAAAAAAAGAAATAAAAAAAATACATACTAAAAAAAAGAAAAAAAAAAGAACATATGAGCTTCTTGGGATGCTGTTGAGGTTTTCATTGGTTGCTTCCTAGAGGTGGGCACAGGCTGGAATTTTATATTGGTTGCTATATTTATTTTCAAAATTGCAATCTCAGCTATAGGTTTTATCTCCATTTCACATATGAGGAAACTGGGTCTGAGAAGTCCAATGATGTCCACTGTCTCATGGCTTTTTCACTGTCCTAGCTACCTCACTCTAGGATAAGATCATCTGTGCTCTGGTCCCAGACTCTCCATTTTAAATAGGTCACTCACCTTTGTCCCAGATGTCAACAGGTCTGACAACATCCCATGCCCTAGATCTATTCACTTCTATCTCTTCTAAGAGCCTGAGCCTTGGTTTTCTATAACAACTAAGCCTTATCCCCACACCACTCTTTAATCTCCTAACTGACCCCATTCCTATATTTTTTGTCTCAACTTTCCTGCTATACTCTTGGGACTCTTGGTCCATTCTTGAATCCTCCCTCACCTAAACCTCTTCCTGACATTCCTCAACCTCCTTCTGAACCCTGGTGACCCTTTCTGAAACTGCCTCCCCTACAGTTGTTCAAGATTGGACTTCATTGTATAGGTTTTCTTCTTCGTGTATCTCAGCTCCTTAATAAAGATAAATTGTTCGCTTTGCTCTAAATCAAGTCCAAATTCCCCATCCTCTTCCACCTCCTACTGCATCCCCACCATGCATGCTGGGCCTGGATTTGTACTGGAGACACTTCCCAGTAACAGATTTTCCTACATTGTCCTTGTCAATTCCTTCAATAGCAGGAATTTGGTTGGTTCATGTGTTTATGCCCCACAGTACCTTGGGGAAGTGACTGCCAGATACCAGTTGCTACCAAAAGCTGGAGTTGTCAGCCTAATATCCTTGACAAATATTTCTGTACTCTTACATGTCCATATTTGTCCAGGCCTCACCATCTCTCACTTGGATTACTGTACGCTCCTCTTCTGCTCATATCCTCCACACGCTTTCTAGCCTGTGTGACTATGTGGAAATGCTAGGTAAGAGCATGTCACCTCAGCTCAAAGCTCCTGTGACACCCATCAAGGCCAGGGGAGAGGCCAAAAGACATCTGATGACCTTCTAGATGCCTTGTGACGCTGCCTTTTCACTTTCCACTTGATCTCATCTTCTTACATTGCCTCTTTTTCCCTCTTTGCTTTTGCCACCCTGGGCATCTTGCTGCTCTGCAAACACCTCAAGCGTTTTCCTGCTTCAGAGACTTTGCACATGTTGTCTCCTCTGCTAGAAATGTGCTTCCTACAGACATCTAAAGGGTTCATCTCATCTCCTTCAGAACCCTCCTTTCTATCTGTTGCCTTTTGTATCCTCCATTTTGGCTTTATCTTTCTCTGTGATCCTTAACATACACATCTCATTCTGTTCATTGTCTGTTCCTTCCACTAGGATGTGCTACAGGGATAGCATGGTTCATTCAATGCTGTGTGCCCAGAACCTAGAACTGCACCAGTACCAAGATAGTACTAAGGGATATATACTGAATGAATAACTGGAGAGAAAGAGAACAACAAACAATAGAATACCTCCTTCACTTCTCAGATTAGCAGACATTTAAAAGTTCAATAGTGTTGGGGACCAATAGATTGCATAATGGTTATATAGCTAGACTCCCATGTAGTCGACCGTGGTTCCAGTCCCAGTCCTGGGAGGCTTAAAGCTCACACTGAGTGCATGTGCTTACATGCCCAAGATCCTGAAAGTAGAAGGGATTATGGTGTGGCCATCCCCCCAGGGGGTGATTTCTCTCTTTTTGTCTCTATCTCTCTGGTGAGTGCACATGCCCTACAGCAAAAATATCTCTTAAAAAAAGTTCAATAGTGTTACATAAATGGGATATTAAAAATGCTTTTAAAAAGTAACACGCACGTGCAGAAATGTATGTGTGTGTGTGTGTGTGTGTGTGTGTGTGTTTGATCAATGACATTGATCTACTGGATCACCAGAAAATTTATGACTATTTTTCTATGCAAAAATGTGTCATGACTTTTCCGACAACCCAATATATCCACTGACTTGGAGAGACAGATAGGGTCAGATGACAGAAGCAAGCTATACAGTGATATATAATTCTATTTTTATAAAAAATGGACACAAATCACTATGTGTTTACGTGCTCTGGAGAGAGAAGAAAGCTGGGAGAGGTAGACCCCAGTTTGCTGCCATTTTTGCCTAATAGAGTAAAAGGAAGAGGAACAGCTGAGTGTACATGTTATTAGGTTCTTATGTAAATATGATACAACTTCAGAAAGTCTTTGGAAAAATAAATTTAAAATACAACTTTATGTTGATGCAAAAAAATTTTGAAATCCATGCATAGCTTTTCTCCTAAAATGCATTTTCCGTGAACTTTGTGAAGACCTCTGTACTTAAAAATAAATCAGATATATCACACATTGGGGAAGATGTGAGTAAATGGAACTCTCATTCTCTGCAGTTGGAGTGGTGATTAGGGCAGCTACTTTGAAGAGTAAACTGGCAGGACTCTGTTGTTGTGTGTGTGTTGCCTATGTATTATTACTCTCCACAAGCCTATAGAGAACTCACAAAGACACTGAAGTCACTACTGATGTACAGAATGTAACTCTGAATTTTAATTCAAACTGGTATGTTCTTCTAGGTCCTTCTCTTTCCTCTTCCCACAGAACCACACTCTGGTGCCATGGGCCAAAGCCACCCAGGACTCTCTGCATACAAGCTATTGTTCACAAACTCAATAAATAGACCTAGTAAAAAGGCTGAGGGAGCTGAAAATTTGTCAAGTAAAATGGTTTTCCTGGGGAGCACATAAGAGCCAACCAAGGGCTAATAACTGTGATTTGGAAGGAAAGGACTGTGCATAAAGCCTGGGGTTGGCCTGTCCAGCAACAGACGGTAATTGTTTCTTGCATTGTTCCCACAGCATAGCAGCAAAATGCCCACCGTTCCAGGCACATATTCAACTCACCTAGGTCACTGTTAAATAAGCTCCTCTGTTTCCTAATGAGTGGAGACTCTAGTAAATTTTATTAAGCCAGGAGCTTCAACATTAATACCTAATGTCCATTTTTTTAAAAACACTGAGAAGTATTAAGAACTAGAACCACATAATTTGCAAATGCTTGGATAATTAAAATCAGCCAGTTTGGTTGCTCTCAACCCACTAGGCCTGAGAACAGCATTGAAAAAAGACAGCGACTGAGAAGCCATGCTTTTGTGAACATTTGAACCGGAGTCGTCCTCCTCTTCCCAAGCAGAGGTGTGACCATGCTGAGGTCTCATCACTTACCGACCGTGCTTTAGAGTGAAGGGGAAAAGATTGGGATGATCTGTGGTTGTCATGGTCACGTCCACTTACCTGAGACCAGAACAAGTGCTGAGACTGACCGTTGAATCAGTGTACCCTTGCACGTGTCCATGGTAGTAACAATGACCCTAAAGGAGAGCAGGGAGAAAAGCAGTTCAGTAACATCTTACCCACTTAACATAAGCCAACTGCCTCTAATCTTCTCTACTAGTTTTTAGCTATGGAATATCCTTTTGCATAAAATATTGCAGTAGCAGCTTAATATTTAATGCTAAGCCCAACGTGACCCACCCAGGATCTATGGCAAGAATGTCTGATTTACTTAGAGGGTTATCAATAGGGTTTTAAAATGCATCTCAGTTCCATTCTTGTCTTTCTGACACCCTGCAGGAAGGCCCTGATGCAGAATGTTTTACGAAATCCAGCAGCAGAACAAATCACATTGACATCGCCATTTTACCCTCATGTAAATTGCCTTTTATAATGAGATGAGGAACCCTATGGGGTATTTAAGCACACTGTGAAATGTAATAAAACGAGGCCTAAATCTATGGCTTATAAAAACAGAAAAGCAGATGAGAGGAAGGGGGAGTGAGGAAAGAAAGAGGGGACCTCACTGAATTACCCAATTGAGAGCTCAAAGTGTATCTCAGC